TTTTTTTAATTCTGAAGCTCTAATAAATTACACATTTTCAAACATGATCTATACAAGATTTGACTCAGAAGGAAAACACCATATGTTTTATATGAAAGGAGAGGTGCTGATAGTACCTAGATGATCTGTGGGCATGGGGATCGTACTAGTTTTAAATCTAGAAGTTGTGCCTCCTGGGAAATCCACCAGTCCCGTCCTGGCCAGACTGGAAAGGCTGGTTATCCTTCTGAAAGATGAGAGAATGTGGAAAGCTAATGGAGGCTAAGTGCTAATGAGAGGGGCAGAATGCATATGTATTGCAGGGTTGTGCACAATAGGTTAAGGAGTTTATACAAAGTGTAATCCAAAGTCATTGAAAGGTCTTAAGAAAAAAAGGGAGCTAATTTTTATGCTCAATATGTAGAGCACAAGGACCCCTGGGGACTCAAGGATGAAGTGCTCAGGTACTTCACAGAGGTTGGCAGTTTGAACCCACCCAGCAGCTCCGTGGGAGAAAGCCAGGCCATCTGCTTCCACAGAGATTTCACTCAAGAAAATCCTACAGGGGCAGTTCTATTTTGACACATGGGGTCACCAGGAGTAGGAATCAAAAATATAACACCTCACAAGATCATAAAGAGCCCACAATTAGTAAACATTTTTCCTATACTAGTCCTTCAGATTATCAACAGAGCCTTAATGTAGTCACCTCTGCTTTGTTTCATAAATATCTAGTTTTCCAACTCTGTATTATTACCTTGTTGCCTTCTCCTCATCGCCCTCTGTTTTCCACCTTGGTTGATTTGTAAGGCTCCAAAACAGATCTGGCTTATTTGATAATCAGCACAACCTTAATTTCAGTGGGAAAAGCAAGCCACCTGTCAAGCAGGTCTGTGCATTTGGATCACAGGAGACTCTCCTGGCAGCAGTCTCAGGAATCCGTCTTGCCTAATGCCACGGACTTCCTGGCACAGAATGCACACATATGAATGGCTCTGCGGCTCCATGGCACCCATTAGAGGGTCATACATAATCTTATTTTTCATCCCGAAGTATTTTTCTCCTCAGATGATCAAAGAACATGTATGTGTCTCATGCTATGCCCTTGAGGACTCTTACTACTCCTTTCGAACAAAGTTACTCTAAGCGGGACAAGAGGAGATCTTTTGGCATGCATTTGCTAATTACCCTATCATAGTTTATTGTTTTATAAAACAATGTATATGCTTGTTTAATGCCAAAAATGGAGAAGGAAGAAACCTAGGAAGCACATAGACCACAGTGAACAAGGAGATGACATCAGGCTTCATCTTAAATATCTGATAAAGGAACAGTGTGAGATGGTTACGTTGCAAAACCATGCAGTTCATTTCTCCCTTGGACCGACTAACTTACAAAATGTCCTTGTGTTTCACAACACAAGGTTGACAAATACAAATTCTCACCTTGATTCATTAAAGAGACTGAACCAACTATATTGAGGGATGGAGAAATGGTAAAGGGAAAAAAATGACTGAGAATTATGGGAGCATGGAAACTCATTAGCCAAGCATCTATAATGATGGTAAAATAAGCAAGTGTTACATTACAAGTTATAAGACCTTTATGTGCAGATAGAATCTAAATTGTAGTTTTAAGCTGGAACCAGATGAATCCTTCAAATAATGGTCTTTATGGAAGCCTTTCAAGTCAGGGGTTTAAAATATGTAATTGTGAACTCCTTGATGGCTTGAGCCAGATATGTATTCGTGTTTCCATCCAAAGAACTGCCTCTGGCAAGTCATATGGAGTCAGTGTCTGCGTTCCATGAGTTTGAACGAGAACACTTTTTGTTACCCCTTAAAAACTATACTCACGTAAGAGATAGAGAGACTTACTCCTCAGTGTTCATCTCTGTCATTAAAATATTCCAGAGAAAATCCTTGCTGGAGTCTGG